ACGTTTAACTGTGTCAAATAATGACGCTATACGATGATCTTTGTAAAAAGAAATTTTGAACGCCGAAGTGCATCATGTAAAAAAATTCAATCTTCAATCCGAATAACAGTTTATAGCCGTCCACAGTGTGTATAAATTGTATACTCGATGTATAATGTCGAACGTTGCTTCTTTAAAAAGTTGAGTGCTGAATTTTCGATGTTGACTTTACAGTGGCAATAAGATTAATCCCTTCTTTAGCATTTTATAGCTTCTGCTTTCCATTTTTCTATCGGAGCCAACCCGTAACTCCTCTTTCCGATAACGGATCTCGTGTATACGTCCCTATTAGAATATTTTATAGACTCTGGAGTTTACTGCATCTCCGGTTATGTATTTGAATACAGGATCGGATGTACTACGTACACAATAAAATCAAATACCTTTATTGAATAAAATAAAAGTATACGGTAACAATAAAAATGAAGATTGTGTACTAGTAGAGATAGTAGAGTTGAAGTGCATACAATCTAACATTGAATAGAAGGAAAACATGACGACGTATGGTATAATACGTGGTTTTTGGACGAAGTATAATACTTATAGGTCACTGATATAATTTATGTATTTATTGGTGTTTGTTCCCTTTCTTGGAACTGTTGTGTTCCTCAACACTGTCTTCAATTGTAATACTGTAGCAGCTATTTCGTTCGAAAAAGCGTGATAGTAGAATCTAGTGTGCCACGTCATGACATTCTGGGACAGAAACAAACAAATAACCTAAAATAAGTTAGTGCAAACGTCAAAGACATTAAGGTCACATCAAATTTTCCATTTCATCGTGACGAGATGCTGTGATGCATATCTTGGTGGGATTCATAGCGAACGACTGAGCGATTTTAGTATGCCGCTTTTGAAGAGTCTCACAGTTTGAACAAGAAAAAAAGAAATCTACCAAAGTTTTCTACTAAGAGTTGCTATAAAAGCTTCTTCCCCCTGTCTTAAAAAAGCTGGTTATATTAGAAACTGTCAAATGAAGTGAATGCCATTGCCTGGGCTATACTCACCCTTGGTAGGGTTGGTTAGGGCAGATTTAAAAATTTAAAAAATTTTGGAAAATTTAAATACTCAGAATTTTGAAAATATTGAAAATTTTAAGCATTTTCAAAATTTTGAATTTTTTTTAATATGAAAATTTTCAAAATTTTCAAAATTTTCAAAATTTTCAAAATTTTCAAAATTTTCAAAATTTTCTAAATTTTCAAAATTTTCTAAATTTTCAAAATTTTCAAAATTTTCAAATACATATTTCAATATTCCAATGTTTCAGAATTCCCATAATTTTCAAAATTTCTAAATTTTTCAAAATTTTGTGAAATATTTATTATAAATCAGAAAACAAGCGTGTCGCACTTAGATTTTAGGTTTCAGATTTTCTATTATTATTGTATTTTATTTAAGAAAAAAGTCATTGACTTAAGGTCATATCATTTTTTTTCTCTGTCAAAATTGAAGCTGCAGTTTTGTTTACCCTTTTTTAAATCGGTCCTTTTTAGGGCCACAACTTAATGATAAAAAGAAATTCCAGAAAAACTAATTTAAAATTCAGGTTAGGAATAAATTAACCATTTCTATCGGAATGTCGAAAAAGCCCTCTAACGGCCGCATATGAAACTAAAAAACTTTAAATATTATAAAATTTCTAGCCCAAGAATAGCTCTTTTAAACGAGCTCAAATTTGTTAAAATCGGCTCAGTCGCAATTACGCCCCCTAGCGGTCACTTTAAAAACTCTGAATTTTTGAAAATATTGAAAATTTTGAGCATTTTCAAAATTTTGAATTTTTTTTAATATCCTGAAAATTTTGAAAATTTTGAAAACTTAGAAAATTTTGAAAATTTTGAAAATTTTGAAAATTTTGAAAATTTTGAAAATTTTGAAAATTTTGAAAATTTTGAAAATTTTGAAAATATTGAAAATTTGAAAATATTGAAAATATTTGTGATTTTGAAAATTTTGTAGATTTTGAAAATATGGAAAATTTTGAAAATTTTCAAATTCAAAATTTTCAAAATTTCGAGTTTCTAAAATCTCCAAATTTTAAAAAATTTTCAATGTTTCAGAATTCCCATAATTTTCGAAATTTCCTCTTCAGAACAGAAACTTGAAAACATTTTCCAGGTTTTTCTCTTGACCGTTTTAGTCGGAACTTTTTGTGCGCAAGCCTCTAGACGGATAGATTCCCGAATACAGTACTTCGCATTCTTAGTTGGCCACCCTGTACAAACTCAATAGTCCCCATGCAATAACGCTCACGCAGGTTTTCAATTTTGAATTTTCAAAATTTTCAAATTATTCAAAATTTTGAATATGTTTAAAATTTCTAGATTTTAAAATCTCCAAAATTTTCAATTTTGAATATTTCAAAGTTTCAAAATTCTCAATTTTCGAAATTTCAAAAATTTTCAGTTTTCAAATTTTTCTAAATTTCATGAAATATTTATTATAAATTAGAAAAGAAGCTTATCTCACTTAGATTTTAGGTTTCACATTTTCGCTCATGAGATAATGAAATGTATGAGATAATGCCCAATTATTCTACTTTTCTTCCAAATTTTATTTAAGAAAAGAGTCATTGACTTAAGGAGGTTATATCATTTTTTTTCTCTGCTAAAGTATGCTTCCTTCCATCGGAATTTTTCAAAAAATATGAAAAATTGCTGTCGTCTGGGGATCCCCAGTACGTTATACTTGTACGAAACAAAACGTCTTAGCAAATTTGACCCTTCGTTCTGGTAACCTTGATGACACGTACGAGTATATACAGTCTAGGCTATATAGATAGCATCACAGTTCCGTTGTTCTCAAACCCTAAACTAAGACAACAAACATTCTCCATAAAATCCGTCTCCAGTAAACCCTGAATTGTGTATCTACTGCTCAATACCGGACAGAGCTAACTATTAAGATAAACATAAAGCCGAGATGAAGCAGTATATCCTCCAGGCTCTCAATCGCCCCGATCTATGGCCTAACCAACCCTATCAAGGGTGAGTATAGCCCAGGCAATGGCATTCACTTCATTTAACAATTTCTAATATAAGCAGCTTTTTAAGACAGGGGAAGTAGCTTTTATAGCAACTCTTAGTAGAAAAGTTTGGTAGATTACTTTTTACTTGCTTGTTCAAAGTTTGAGACTCTCAAAAAACGGCACACTAAAACCGCTCTGTCGTTCGCTACGAATCCCACCACAAGCGTCATGATTAAATTGAAAATTTGACGTGACCTTAATGGTTTTGACGTTTGCACTAACCTGTTTTAGGTTACTTGTTTATTTCTGTCCCAGAATGTCATTTGTATATATATATATAAATAACTTGAGACGTGGTCATTGTCGTCTAGACCAGTTAGGTGGAAAACTAAAGCTTCCGCCTTTTGTTGGGTACTTCGACAAAATTTAAGCAAGGAGGGCTCTTTATACTTTTTTAATCTCTCTAGCTTTCAATGGTCTTTGCCATCATCATCAGGAGAGTAGTATGTGAGGATGTTGCTAAATGTGGTTCATGATGTAATGTTTTACCTTTCGTTTTAAATATTTTTAATCTGTTTTAATTTGTTCTTGGCATACAACTTTGTGTAGTTTGTATAATTTTGACTAATGTACCATGTATCCGGCTTTCACCAGGTTACTGGGTGTTTCGCTCATCTTCAACGTAAGTAACACATACTACTCTCCTGATGATGATGGTAAAGAGCATTGAAAGCTAGAGGGATTAAAAAAGTATAAAGAGCCAATGTTGTGGACTTCGTGTGTCATTTTTTTTCCCTCCAACTTCGTTTCCTCAGGTTACACCCGTATACGGATGTGTGGGCATGTGTATCTACTTTTGTAGTTTCATACGTGCATTCATTTCGGGCATGATGAAGCCAACCAGCAGAAATACGTATCGCTCGGGTTACCTATCCTATTTTCTGCTCGAATCCACTTTCCTCCTTTTTGCGGATTTTGCCCATTATCTTCCTACTTGTTGTTATATACTTTTCTCCGCATGATCATATTCTCTTTATATATATATATATATATATACGGCAATAAGACATCTGTCAATTATTGAGCAAGTCATAAAGGTTTAGAAATAAAAAATAAGCAAGATATGAGATCTATTGCTATCTTTCACGTGGGTTTTATTATATGTGCATAATAAGAGACTTGTCAATTATTATACATTTCGGCTCTGTGCCTACGGCCTGACCGTTGAGATTACGTTCCCTATCTACAGCTCCGGAGTCAGTATGTGTGCGTCTCTAGTCCCCCTTACCTTCGTCCTCCTCCCCTTTCTGTACGCCCATGCTCCTTGGAGCGATGCGCGCGCTGGCTAGTGGCGAGCGATTCCCCGCTCGCCCTTCAGTACGCTTTTATCTATCGCACGGATAGGGTGTGTGCGTGTGCGTATGTGTAACATCGCGAGTTAAACGTTGTGTAACGTTCGAGAGAATAATAGTATAAATGCAAAGGTAAGAGACAAAAACCTTAGTTTGACAATTTAGTGTAGATGGCTACCATTTGATATAAAATTGTCACGGTCTCGGATCACTCGGTCCAGACGTGAGACTCCCTTCTAATGCATCTTGGGCAAATTCGCTAGAGCATAATATGGGCACTTGTGTGCAAGCGCACAATGCCCATTCATAGGAAAATTGAAGGGAGTCCTGCAGCCGGATCCATCTACACAATGTTTCGGCCCGACCGGCCCGTCAAGTCGGCCCGACCAGCTGCAGACTTCGGCCCGACCGGCTGCAGACTTCGGCCCGACCGGCTGCAGACTTCGGCCCGACCGGCCGCTAAATTCGGCCCGACCGGCTGCGAATTTTGGCCCGACCGGCCGCTACGTTCGGTCCGACCGGCTGCAAATTTTGGCCCGACCGGCTGCAGAATTTGGCCCGAACGGCTGCAGATTTCGGCCCGACCGGCTGCATTTTTGGCCCGACCGACTAACTAATTATAGCACATCTGCTTCCAGATGGCGATGGCAACCAATTTTGTTACTCTGGGTGAACTCTGGTCCAGCCACGTTGAAATGGAGGAAGAAGATGAAGCGATATTTTCCAGAATCAAGGTCTTAATAGAGAACCATCTGCCAGACGGCTGGAGAGACTGGAAGGTGATTGACTGGAAGAAAGAAGATCTATTTGGGAAAAAGATAGACCACAAAGTATTGAACAAAATTCGCTTCGCCCTCCCCACATTGGAACTGGTGAAAGCATTCTACCCAGAAGCAACATCGGTGGGAGAGAAAACCTACCGAAATATAAAATTGAGGCTTCTCGACTGGAACCTCTGTAGAGCATTGATCATGAGCCCACGGCAGGTAGCGTGTCAGTTACGAGGATCTATGGCTCAAGCGGAGCTCTTTAATAAGGCGGTGGAACCACTTAAACATACTATGCGTTCCAGAGAGCTGACGTCGGAGGCCCTTTCAACGGACGGGGAGTCTAATTATACGTCCCGAAGTAAAAGGAGACGGTGTCAATCGTCCAGCTCAGACGACGAGTACCCGGTCAGAACCGAGAAACCAATGAAGAGGAGGCGGCGAGTATTGTCTTAGAGCTCGGAGGAGGATGTCAATGAGACAAGGCTACGCCGCGTGGAAAGCATGGTCGAGAATCTTTACCACTTGGTCTCAGGAAATAAAGAGAACGATGGCAGCGTCATGAATTCGACGTGGCAAGCTCCAACTCCTACAGGTGAAGAGCTGTATGACGCCGACAGTATTGGCACATGTGGCAGCGTAAACGACTGGGACACGTTTTCCCCTGTCACTAGGGAAATCGAGCCTACAGTCCCTAGGGCGGACCCAGTAATCGAGACACAGGGCATGAAATGCCAGCGTTTCGGGGAAGAGACATGGAACAAGATTCGTTACGTGGACGCTCAGAAAAAACTCCACGCATCACCAGTCTTCAGTACTCTGAAGGTTAACTCATCCTTGTACAACAATGGACATGCAAGCCCAATGACAGATATGTTATCCAAAAGTGACCTGGCCTTCGGGACTATCTCACACGGTCTACTGAAGCAACGGAGAATCATACATGAGGCTCTGAAGGAGGCGGGGAACAAACACCCGGAAGCGGCAGACACTTTGAAAAAAGTTTTTGCTGCTAACAGTGAATACAAGACCATCTCGGACGACCTGCTGCAGTTCGTTTGCGGAAAAAGGGCGGAAATCATCGAAAGTCGCAGGAAACTATACGAGCCTAAAAGTAGTTACTATAGGTCCATCGTCAATGAGATTCCTCCGTCAGGTACGCACTTGTGGGATGAAGAGCAGCTGAAAGATGTGGTTAAAATGCATGGAGTGACGAAAATTGCTCCTGTCCGCTGGCAGAGTAATTTGGGAAAAGTCGCACTGAGACAGAAGGTGCCTCAAGGAACTTCTCATGAAAAGTATCTGCGTCAAGGTTCATTTAAAAAAATGAAGAAGGCAGAGTTTAAGCATTCGCGTAAGCCGGGGGCGAAAAGTCATACCAAGCTAGCTCGTAAGGAGCAACCACCTTTAGATAAAAGGCGGAGTTTTTGACAGTTTTCAGGCAGGACAACTCGCCAAATATGTCTCTGCTTGGAAAAGTATGGGAGCCTCACAATCGATTCTCAGTATCCTGAAAGGCTACGTGACCCCTTTCTCAATAAAGCCACCAATAACAGTACTATCCCAACCGATACTAAACAAATTCGAGACACCAGCATCCACACAAATGGATCGAGAAATACAAAACCTCATAAATCAAAAGGTGGTAGTAAAACTGCAAACAAAAACAGGTTTCTTATCAAAGATGTTTTTGACGCCGAAATCGGGGGGCTTGTGGAGACCAGTGTTCAATCTAAAAAGATTGAACAGCTTCATCACGCCCAAGAAGTTCCGCCTTATGAACCATCGCAAACTGCCATTATTTCTCCAGGAAAGAGATTATATGGAGAAGTCGACCTTTCTCAAGCATATTTCCATTTGCCAATAAAGCAAAAGCATTGGCGTTATCTGGGACTTTATTACCGGCAAAACATCTACGCTATGACAGCACTACCATATGGCCTAAGCTCCGCTCCACAGGTGTTTGCAAAAGTTACGAACTGGGTGGCGAGGTACTTGAGGAAACAAAACATTCGAGTAATGGTCTATTTGGACGATTTTTTGATCGCAAACCAGAATCCAGAAGAACTAAAGCGAGAGGTATCCACCCTGATAGATACTCTCATAAAGCTGGGTTTCTGCATCAACCTGGAGAAGTCCGAAATAAGACCTACACAGAAATTGGCATATCTAGGTATTATGTGGAACACCATAAGAAATCAAAAGAGTTTACCGGAGGACAAAATCCACCGTCTGCAAACATCAATCCAAGCTGGAATCAAGAGCAAGACTTGGAGCTGGAAGCAGGTAAAGGCACTGCTAGGGAGAATGGAATTTGCCTCGTTTGTTATCCCATTGGGTCGACTACATTGCAGAAAGATACAAAGAGCAGTCAATCGGATGTCAGAAAACCAACCAAAGAAACTGTTCAATATAGACCTGGACGTATTGCGAGAGCTAAGATGGTGGGAGAAAAACTTAAAAGGGTCATCCATAATCTGCATGAAAGAACCGGAAGTTCATATAATAACCGATGCCTCAAACACGGGCTGGGGAGCCCAAGTAGGAGACACTTTGAGGAAAGGAAACTGGACAGAGCAGCAGGAAAAGTGGCATATCAACAAAAAAGAAATGTTCGTGATCTACTTAGCGCTAAGAAACCACCTAGATCGATTGGCAAACAAAACACTGTTAATTCAGACGGACAACAGGACGGTGGTTTCCTACTTGAGAAATCAAGGAGGAACCAAGTCGGTCACGCTTTTGGCATTGACCAGGAAGATCCTGGAGCTGGCACATCAATACAGTATGTCTCTGAGAATAGAACATATTCCAGGAAACTACAATATTGTGACCGACCACCTATCCAGAGGAAAGGATCTGCCAGACTGGCACTTATCAAGGATAGCTCAGAAGAGGATCTTCGAAAAGTGGGGAACCCCTTGCACCGACCTATTTGCGACTCCAGAATCAGCCGTCGTTACAAGATTTGTAACGCAATTCCCATGCAAGGAGGCAGAATTCGTCAACGCATTTACAAGAACGTGGGAGTACAAGCTAGCGTGGATATTCCCTCCTCCACCCCTAATACCAAGAGTTCTCCAACACCTCAACTATTGTCAGGGAGTTTTCATAATGATAGTCCCCAGGTGGGAAAGGGTGTTCTGGCGGCCCCTGCTGAAGAGACGTGCCATCGACCACCCGTTCACCATTCGGAATCTGAAGGCTCACCTGGAAGATCTTCAAACCAACCAGCCTCCTCCAAAGGTAATGGATTTACACCTGGAGGCATGGAAGATACGGGGTGGTCCGATATAGCGAATCACTGGTCAAAGGATGAAAGGAGAATCTTAGAAACATCCTGGCGCAAGTCAACTCTCAAAACGTATGCCGTTGCATGGAAAAGTTGGCAATCGTGGGCGAAGAAAAGAAGAGTTTCAGTTAAAAATCCAAACCCCACGCAGGTGGCTCAATACCTCTGCTTCCTACACAACACAAGAAAATTGGCGCTTAGAACGATCCTATTACATAAATCCACCATTGCGACATTCTCCAATCCACTACATAGTGAAGGAGTTTCCAGTAGCCCAACAGTGAAACAGGTAATTAGAGGTATTGCAAATGCAAAACCTCCAGCAACTAGGCCAAAGATTTGGAACATCGATAAACTTCTATCTTGGATTAATGATAACCATCCAGATACGAATAGTATCTTTCAAGTGGCCCGGCATCTATCGCTGCTTTTGCTGCTATCATCGGGAAGGAGAGTCCATGACTTGACACTCCTTCGAATAGATTCTGGTTTCTTTGAACAAACCGAAGAATACATAATTTTCTGGCCACAACATGGATCTAAGACAGACAAGCATAACTACGTCCAGTCAGGCTGGAAACTCCTCAAAAATCGAGAATGCATCTGGGATCTAGTACACTGGACAACCATATATCTAGAAATATCAGAAAAGAGAAGGAACCTCCACTGTCGACCGATTCCTCAACTATTCGTCACAACTCGTGGGAAGATAGGACCGGCATCTCGGTCAGTGATAGCAGGATGGGTCCGCACAGCGTTGAAATCGGCAGGTATAGAAGGAGGAGCCGGCAGTACCCGCTCGGCAGTGGCAACATCCCGCTTCAATGATAACATGCCATTGGATGAGGTTTTGCAGAAAGGAAATTGGCAGGGATCAAGCAATTTCTTCAAACACTACTATAAAAATATCGATAAGGATTTGGTACCTGACAACAGCAACAGAAGACTTATTTCGGATAAATTTGTCCCTATATAAGTATTATCATGGCTGTGAGCCAAGAATGACTGTTACTTTTCTTTTTATGAACTGTTAGAGTTATCATATTCTGTTTATGTCCTTGTATTGTTGATATTTTCTGTAGGGAAAATATAGAAAGTTCAGTATGGTTTAGTGTACCTTTTTTTTTTTGGTCTTCATACTATAACCATGTCACAGTACGCTTTCTAACACCGTGGCGCGCCGGCAGATTGTAAACACTTCTCAACGGTCAGGCCGTAGGCACAGAGCCGAAATAGAACAATTTTCCCCCTGAAGGGAAGAAAATTGATATTTCGGGTCTTGCCATAGGCCTGACCTAGGTAACGCCTTGCCGGCGCAAGAGTACTGAAGGGCGAGCGGGGAATCGCTCGCCACTAGCCAGCGCGCGCATCGCTCCAAGGAGCATGGGCGTACAGAAAGGGGAGGAGGACGAAGGTAAGGGGGACTAGAGACGCACACATACTGACTCCGGAGCTGTAGATAGGGAACGTAATCTCAACGGTCAGGCCTATGGCAAGACCCGAAATATCAATTTTCTTCCCTTCAGGGGGAAAATTGTTCTATTCTGCGTAGATAAAATTTTCAAAATTTTCGGTATTTTTAAATTTTCAAAATTTTCAAAATTTTCAAAATTTTCAAAATTTTCAAAATTTTCAAAATTTTCAAAATTTTCAAAATTTTCAAAATTTTCTACATTTTCTAAATTTTCAAAATTTTCAAAATTTTCGATATTTTCAAAATTTCACAAATTTTCAAATTATTCAAAATTTTCAAAATTTTCTAAATTTTCGAAATTTTCAAAATTTTTAGTTTTAAAAATTTTCAAAACATTCAAAATTTCATCGATTTTAAAAATTTTCGATATTTTAATGAATGTCTGAATTTTCAAAAATTTCAAATGTCTCAAAATATTAAAAATTTTACTGTAACCTCAATTTGCTGCTAGGTGAGGTTTCAAGAAAATCACCCGTTTCATTCTACCTTAGTTGTGGAATATTCAGGACTATCCTATTTGCTAGCAAGCTACGATTGAAGAAAGATGCACGATAAAATGAAAATAAATGCTTTTATTGAAAAAAATGATATTACCGTTTTTTGTCATCTCTATACACACCATCGAATAAAATCAGACGAAAAGGACTTAGAATACTGCTGTAAGCAAACAGTTGAAAAAAGTGAAAAAAT